GAAGTACTTAAGGCAGCCCCTTGATTCTCAACTCTCAAAGACATTCCTGTAACTGAGCTTAAATTCCATGTTTAGAGATAGTGTGATAGTATTTGGGATGTGGAGTTTGGCCATTTTTTGTTTTGTTTATCCATGCCTAACCAAAAGGAGAAACACTGGGTGTTTTCTAATATGTCAAAACAGATAAAAGAGAACCCTCAAGAGAAAATGGAGTGCTTTGTTGGTGTGTAACTTTTTCTGCCTTTTGGATTTCAGAGAAGTTATTCATGATACTTGGGGATGGTCCTTTTCTTTGAATTTTCACTAAAAAGTGAGAACTCAAGTGATTTTGATGCCACCTTCTGGCTACTACGAAAACTTCAGCTTAAAAAGAGCCCTTGCTGGTTTGGCTCCCTGGATAGAGTTTAGGCCTGCAGACTGAAGAGTCCCAGGTTTGATTCTGGTCAAGGGCACATGCCCAGGTTGTGGGCTTGATCCCCAGTAGGGGGCTTGCAGAAGGCAGCTGATCAATGATTCTCATTGAGAGAGATTGATGTTTCTATCTCTCTCTCCTTCTCCCTTCCTCCCTGGAATAATAATAAGAAAAAAAGGTTGTGTTAAAACAACTTTGAACAGGCTCTGAAGCAGCCCAATTACTCAATCTGAGGTCTTCAGATAGGGAAACAGGAGAGATGAAGAGGGCAAAGGTCTTCCATGTAAGTTTTGTATCATTTTGGCATCTAAGTGAAGCAACATGTCCACTCTTACTAAAGAAAGAAGAACCAGGTCTCTCGTGTAAATTTGCTCTACTGCTGTGTCAGTTTTCCAGAGAGGCCTCTGTCCTATGGGGCGAGGGAGGAGGGGGAGACAGCTGTCCTGGCTGCCAGATTTCAGGAACTAGAGGGTTGCTGCCTGTCAGACGTTGGCTCCCAAAATGCCACAATATGAAAGGTTGTAGGCTGGGGTGCCAAATCCCACAGAAGCCCTTGTTATTCCCAGAAGGTTAATTCAATAAAAGAGGCCTCTATTTTGGCCTGTTGTTTTGTGTGTGTGTGTGTGTGTGTGTGTGTGTGTGTGTGTGTGGCTACTTGTCTGGATGCTGGAATTCAAAGTGCACGTGTATGGGAGAAGCATAGAGGTGCTGATTTGCACTATAGATCTGTATATAAACTTTCAGTTAATCTTCTTGTTTTTGGCCACATTTCTCTTAACTCTAAGTCCAACATATCTCATTATTTCTAACAGGCAAAATAATGTCCCACCCTTTTTGTAGCCTCTCTGGAGCATTCATCACTCCACACACTCTCATATGCTTTTCATCTTCCCCAAATTGTTGAACTCTCCTGTATAATTGTGAACAGACCCCATCCTCTGCATCCTTAGCTGGAATGGTGAGGGTTTTTTTTCCTATTTTTACTTTTATGCTTTTATTTTCATGAGTCTTGGGAAAGAAGGAAGATGGGCTTAAATGCATGGACGATCATTTTAAGCGAGTAGTTTGCAGTTGCTTCTATTTTGCTATTTCTTCTTTTTTAAAATATATTTTTATTGATTTCAGAGAGAAAGGGAGAGGGAGAGAGAGATAGAAAGATCAATGATGAGAGAGAATCATCGATTGGTTGCCTCCTACACACCCCACACTGGGTATAGAGCCAGCAACCTGGGCATGTGTCTGACCGGGTATTGAACCATGACCTCCAGGTTCATAGGTCAATGCTCAATCATTGAGCCACAGACAGGCATTTTTGCTGTTTCTTGGTGGAAATATAATTCAAGTTAAATGCTGAGTGGCTTCCTCAGTCACTCCCACAGAATTGCTCAGCTGCAACCATCACCATATACTTTGTACCTAAGCAATCAGAGATCCACTGACATTTAAGGCTACCAATCAGGCTACAATAGAACAACTACAAATTTGTACTGAAAAAGTAAGGATTTTAAGATTTTGAAAAACACTTACCGTGGAATTTGTCTCAGGCATTCTATTACATTTGGTAATTACATAGAATGGGCTGAGTGCTAGGCTAAGTGTTAGCAAAGTAGAAGAATAAAGATGAATAAGGTATAAACCTTTCCCTGGAGGATAGCACAATCCAGTGAATAGCTTGAGTTTATGTAGCATTTTGCAGGTTATAAATCAATTTTACCTATGGGGGCTCTCGACACTTACTGATTTACCATTCACGGTTTTAACTACTCCTGAGAGACTCCAGTGATCCATGACATGCATTAATTTATTCATTTGCTGAGGTACAAATTGGAGACACATGCACCACGAGGCTGTGTGGATGATATAGCTGCTCGGTGGTGGAAGAGCCCCGCTGACTCTGTGGAGTCCTGAGCAGCCTTGTTTGTGTTGTGCATGAATTTATAACCAGGTCTTGAGCCATCTGAACTCGATGGGATTACGAATAAGAAATGTGTTTATTTTCCCCCGTCATTGCGTTTAACAATGTCCTTTCACATCTCACTTCTCACTCTGGTATCTCAGGTGCTTTCCAGACACTCTGTTGTTAAAAAGTTCAATGTAGTCTCATGTACAATGTGAATCTCAGATCTTCCACTCCTCCAGCTCAGGTTTTAACTCTGCAAGGGAACTTAAAGTGGAAGAGAGGGCCTGGTCTACTATTTCCCTTCTCTTCCCTCTCTTCTGGTTCTAGCTCTTTCTTTGTGTTGTGAGGGGTGGAAGGAGAAGGAGTGTCTGTCACTTTTTTGGTCACTGTCCTAGTCCCATATGGTGTTGCTTCTGCTATTAAGATACAACTAACTAGCCATCACACATTCTCTTTGAGGTAAGCGCCCAAAGCCTGGCTCTCTCATGGTGTCCAAGTGGACATTCTCTGGAGAAGTCCTCACTGAATAGTTCTTTGATTTAAGAGATCAGCTTAGCTTGCCCTCCTCCCAACCCCTTTAATTTTATCGCTCATGATTCACCTCCAGTCTCTACCAGGATAATGCAAGCCCATATATTTGACTGGGCATCCTCCCATACAGGCTACTTCACACTCCCCTTTTCCTGCCCCACTGACTTTTTTCAGCTCTCTATGGTCTCTTTGGGTCTCATTTCTCACAGCTAAAATGGGCACAGAGGGCTGACTTGTAAGTCTGCAACGTAAGTGGTGTTCAATTGGAAAATGAGATGCACATCTGTCCTCCCTACAGCTACCTCAGTCTCTATGAGAGAGTCTCTCAGAGCCCTCTGTAATTTGGCACTAGGAAGAAACAATCACCCTATCAAAGAGGAGAGGATGGAAAATCCTCTTAAATGTGATCATTGTATCCTTCCAACTCCACTGTCTGCAATCCACCTCCTTTCCCCCATGTTTTGCTTATGTAGATAGGAGCAGGAAGGGGATAGAAGCGATACAAGGCTCTGGCCCACATTTTTTTTTTTTTTTTT